CTCTCTCTCTCTCTCCCCCCCCCTCCCCCCCCCACATCCACACCCTTCGATGTGTGCGACCGCACGTCCGAGAGCACACGCTCGCCCTTATTCACATGGAAAAAAAAGTGGCGCTTAGCCTTAACGCAAATTGAAAAAGCTAAGAAAAACGGAATGCACTCTCTATATCGTCCCCAGATAATAGAGCACGAAGCGAGGGAGGAAGGAGGGCCGGTGTAGGTAACGCCACCGGAGGGAGGGGGAGAAGGCGAGGGAGGAAATAAGGAGAAAGGGAGCGAGGGAGGGCCGATGGGGCGGAGGGAGGGAGGAGAGAGGATCGAGGCAAGAATGGAGGACGGGCCGAGGCAGGAGGGATGGTGATGGTGCCTCTGGTGCCTCTCTCTCTCTCTCTCTCTCTCTCTCTCTCTCTCTCTCTCTCTCTCTCTCTCTCTCTCTCTCTGTGTCTCTCTCTCTCGATGGAGGGAGGAGAGCGGACGGCCCGAGAGAGAGACAGAGAGAAAGAGAGAGAGAGAGAGAGAGAGAGAGAGAGAGAGAGAGAGAGAGAGAGCACGGATTCACGATAAGCACCGAGCACGAAACGCATGTATCCACGATGAGCACGAAAAGCACGGATCAACGATGAGCACCGAGCACCAAAGAAAAGCACGGAGCACGAAAAGCATGTATCCACGTTGAGCACGAAAAGCACGGATCAACGATGAGCACCGAGCACCAAAGAAAAGCATGGATCAACGATGAGCACCGAGCACCACACGGATCCCCAATGAGCACGAATCCACGATGAGCACGAATCCACGATGAGCACGTATCCACGATGAGCACCGAGCACCAAAAGCACGGATGGACGATGAGCACGAAAAGCACGGATCGACGATGAGCACGTGATCATGCACCAAAGAAAAGCACGGATCGACAATGAGCACGTGATCATGCACCAAAGAAAAGCACGGATCCATGAGCACGTATCCACGATGTGCACCGAGCACGAAAAGCACGGATCGACGATGAGCACAAAAAGCACGGATCGACGATGAGCACGAAAAGCACGAATCGACGATGAGCACGAAAAGCACGGATCGACGATGAGCACGAAAAGCACGGATCGACGATGACCACAAAACCACGGATCGATGATGAGCACGTGATCATGCACCAAAGAAAAGCACAGATCCACGATGAGCACGAAAAGCATGTATCATGCACCACAGAAAAGCACGGATCCAGGATGAGCACGAAAAGCACGTATCATGCACCAAAGAAAAGCACGGATCCACGATGAACACGAAAAGCACGGATCGATGATGAGCACGTGATCATGCACCAAA